TCCTCCGCTCCTGAGTGCATTCCAAAGACTATTGAAACACCGATTGACACGATGTCACCTCCCCCTCCCACTACTGGAGACAATATTGTCTCTGTTCTTCCGACTGATATTTTGGCAGATGTTTTACTTGGGTCCTTGGGTCCGATAATCAGGATAGTATTGAAGCTCTACATCCCCAGGATGCATCAGGTGTTGAAGAGACGTGCTTACCACCTCTCATCTCTTCGAATCAGAATGTTGTTACTGCTAGTCAGGAGCTGGGGGGCCATTCTCTCCTACACGCCTAACAATCTGTTGATCACACCAATCAGATGAGTCAGTCCTCGGATGAGGAATGGCAGGGGTTAACAAGAATGAAGGCACACTCCAGCTTAGGAACTTAATGGATGATACTCTAGTAACTTCGGGTAATGGAACGACACTCAGCAATTTGTTAGCTGTCTCTGCTCCTAGAACCAGGGGCAGAGACAAAACCAAGCTGGCTCGTGCCTAGCAGCTTATTTTATGCAAGTTTTATTTTTTTCATGTGTTTTATCTATGTTTCATCCTTTTACGATGCTAGTGTCTGATGTATCATATGGGTAGGGCACCTTTTTTGAGTCCTCTCATACAACCTCTATGTATTTTTTCAATTTCAATAAAATTAGCCCTTAGTCGTTTATAATATATATATATATATATGTGTGTGTGTATATATATATATATATATATATATATATATAAAAAAAAATGTTTATATATATATATATATATATGATTACTTAAATCTCTCCAAATATCTATCACTCTACTACCATGCCCTAAACAAGATCATAAAATACACATTTTATTGAGTATACATATTTATATAACATAAAAGAGTTACAAATAAATAAATTTACCCTTATTGCTATCTTTCTTATTCTTGTAAACTCAAAAACTCCTCAATATCACCCATTACTCAACTATTAATTCCTAATATATAATTGTAATTACAATCATTTTAGTCTCCTCTTTTACTAATTTCACATTTACAATGCCTATTTTCTAAAATTTAATTCAAATTAATGCATCTAAAGATCATCCTTTCAAATGTTTTTCAACTACTAGTCAATAAATAAAATACTATTAATATTCTAATATTAGCTTTATAATTGATACCATAAATTCATCCTTACATCTTTGGTCCCTCTAACCTAATTGTGAATGTTTTTAAGTTTCCTCTTAATTCCATATTTAAAGTTAAATATGCTTTTATTATAAAGTAATTAAAAGTAACCATTTTATTAAATATATAATTATCGGTTGTAAAAACTAAGTTAAAGAATAATGCATATCAACAATTTCCTTATCTCACATTAAGAATTGGCATGTATTCTCTTTTAAAATTAACTTTAATTATTTATCTAATAATCTATTATATAAATATATTTTTCTGAAAAAAAAATGTAAAATTTCATATTTTTAGAGGAAAATTTCTGAAAATCTCACATTTGATATTTATAGTTCAATACCTACTCCTTTCCTCTTCACTTCTAGCTCTCTTGTTTTTAGCTTCCAAACAAAACCTAAAAAAAATTCTATAGAAACACAAAAATCTAAATTTAGGGCTCAGAAACATCTCACATTTGGCGGAGAAAAAAAAAAAGAAGCCTTAAATTTAGTTCTCAAAATCATACCTAACTTAAACAATATCTCAATCCAAAAGAGCTAAAACCAAAGCCAATCGCATGTTGTGAGCTAGAGCGCCCAGACAAACACAACACGTGCGTCGAATTGTTCCTCCCTGATCACTCACGTGCTCGGCTTTGGCCCGCATGCTAGTTATAGCACTCAATCTCTCCCTTTCGTACTTGCTCACTCACTCATCCCTCATTCTTATAGTTTCTCTCTCTCGTCACTCTACGTCTCGCCCTCTCTCACATCCCCTTTCTTCGATCGAGGGCATGAAGTCCTTGGTTATTTGTCGCGTTAAACAGCATCAAAGCCACTTGGGATAAAATAACATATGTTTAAATGGTGTCATTAGCTAACTTTCCTTCTTTAATTAAGTTTATTTGCTATCATTTCTTTATCTGACTTATTAAATTTGATGCAATTTATATTTAATTTAACTTTAATTCTTATTAATTTATTTAAGCAACTTCATTAATTAATCAATTTAACCCATATAAATTAATTTTATTAATTAATACTAAAAAATTAGTATTATTACATTAGTAGCGCACTTTGCATTAAACGTTGCAAGCATAATGTAATGTTGTCGACAATAAGACAGCATAATTTTTTTAGCGAAAACCAAGACTACATTGTTGAATGGTTGAAGTGGAGGAATGCATTTGGCCTATTGTGTGATAGAAAAGTATCGCTTAGACTTAAAAGGAAAACTTTATAAGATGGTAATGAGACCTGCAATACTTTATGGCATAGAATGTTAGCCTGTAAAAGAGAAGCATAAAATAAGATTAAGTGTTGTTGAGAAGAGAATGCTTAGATAGATGAGTGGTTTTATGCTAAGACGCAAAATGTTAAATGAATATACCTGTGAAAAGGTTGGAGTAGCTCTAGTGGCAGATAAGATTAGAAAGAGTCATCTTAGAGTCACATTAAACGCCGACCAAATGATGACCCTGCTAGAAGTATATATGTTCTAGATTTGACTTATACTAAGAAAGGTAGAGGTAGACCTAAAAAGACTTAGGCATGTTGTATAAAAAACGATTTTAATTTATTAGACAACAACAACAACAACAACAACAACAACAA